ACCTGTCTAACTTCAGAGCAGATAATGCAAATCAAGTTTGGTCCAAGGCTGACTCTTACGAGGTGGAGGTCAGATATACCTGCACCCTCCAACCTTTTTACCAATTCTGACACCAGCTGGCCCTCCCACGGCAGTCTTAACTCCTTTTCTGGATTCGATAATCCATTGCAATGGCCAGACAGAACTCACAGACCATACTTAAGTGGTTTATTAAGAAAGTTGTTGTTAGGTGCTGTCAAGTCAGTTCTAACTCATAGCAACCCTATGTACAACAGAATGAAATACTGTCTGGTCCTGTGCCATTCTCACAATCATTGCTATGCTTAAACCCATTGTTGCAGCCACTGTGTCAATCCATTAATCCGTTAAAGAGGTAGCAACCTGGAATCAGGATCAAGAAGCATGTAGGCAAAGTCTCTGTCCTTCAGTGCAGGACAGCTCTCAGCTCCTCTTGACTGTGCAGGCCTCCTCTTGTCCACCTGAGGACAGGTTCTTCACCACCCCCTTAGTACAGGCTTCTCTCAACTCTCTCAGGACCTGCTTTTCCTGGGCCCCTCAGGACAGGCTTCTCTGCCCTGCCATGTATTGCTGCTGGGTTTGCCGCTGGACCCCTTCTGGGCCTGTCACCATGGGCTCTGCCACTGGGCCCTTTCTGGGCTTCTCACTGTCTTCAGTGTTACAGCCCTTGACCCATGTTACAGCTCTTTTAGGAGGTTCCTTGCCTCTCTGCTTCTTACTTCATCGCTCTTCTTCCTTCCGCTTCTTCTTGCTGTTTCTCTTCCTGCTTCTTTTCCATCCGAAAAACCTCTGTGAGGTTGGTTGCTTATATCTACAAACCCCTCATCAGTTTCATGGCGTGGCCCTCCCATCTAGGCCATGAACTGTCCAATCCACTCTCGGTAGGCCACAGACACTTCATTTGCATATAGTCTATTGAACCAGTCCCTGCAAGGTGCATACCAATCAGGTAAGGCTGCAACCCAGGGTCAGACAAAAAGTAAAGTTGTTTACAGCTTGCCCAGGAAATACCAATCTGGACAAAAGTAACAAACTCTCTGGGGAAGAAAACCAAAGCAAATGTGCAGTGAGATCTCTTTTGTGTGATCTTTCTCGCCATGGTCTTGTAACTCACCCCCAAGTGATTGGGTGGGACTGAGCAAATAGGGTGATTGTCGCCCACCGAAGGGATTGGTCAGTTTTGCCATCCTGGGCCTGAAACGAGCCACACCAGAGGCAAGAGAGGAAGATCCCATTACCACCAAGGAGGGAAAGCCAAGAGTGGAATGTGTCCTTTGGACTCGGGATCCCCTCAGTGAGAAGCTCATTGAACCAGGAGACCGAGAGAGAGAGTTGTAACACTGAAGACGGCAAGAAGCAGTGGCAGAAAAACAGTGGCAGGAGAGACCAGCAGGATGGTGCAGTGGGCTTCCTGGCCCATGGAGCAAAAAAGGCAGAGGCTGAGAGGCAGAGAGGCATGTGGCACAGCTGGAAAGAAGCTGTCCTGATGGAAGAATTGTATCCTGAGCATTTCTGAACCTGAATTGTAACTTGTTACTTCCCTAATAAACTCCATAATCCTGAGTACTGTCCGTGAGTTCTGTTTCGTAATTGCAGTGAATTAATTAAACCCAGCAGAGAAGTAGAGAGTGTTGTGGGAGGGATGGTTGGTGTCAGAATTTGTAAAGACGGAGGAGAGAGGAGGCATGTCGACCTCTGCCTCATAGGAATCAGCCTTGGGTTGTTGGTCTTGATTCTCCTTCCCCCTTGTCAAGTTAGAGGAGGTCAGATGCTGCTTCCACACCACTTTTACAAAAGGTAACTCCTCAGGGCTTAGGGAAAAAATCTCTCAAGCCGTTTTTTCCAAAGAACCAAGGCAAAAGTCCACATAAAGAAATTCATTTCACCATGTACACCACATACCTTTTGAAATAAGATGATTAGTGGGTTGCAGGGGTTAGGTAGGAAAGGAGGGGGGGAAGTGTCTGAGGCTGTAAAAGGGTACCATGAGGGATCCTTTTGATGTTACTTTTGTATATTTTTTGTGTGTCGTAAAATATATATCAAAAAAATTTGCTGTTTCAACGTGTCTTATGTATACTATTCAGTGACATTAATCACATTCACCATGATATGTGCCTGTAAAAATGGCATGGGAGTGGTGTCTGACCTCTAACTTCACAAAGGGGAAGGAGAATCAAGATCAACAGCCCAAGGCTGATTCCTATGAGGCGGAGGTCAGACATGACTCTTCTTTCCACCATCTTTACCAGTTCTTACCCCAACCGTTGCTCCCATGGCACTCTCTAGTTCTCTGCTGGGTTTGATAATTCGTTGCAGTGGCCACACAGAACTCACAGACAATACTCATGATTGTGGGGTTTATTAGGGAAGTAACAGGTTACAATTCAGGTTCAGGAATGCTCAGGATACAGTTTTTCCATGAGGACAGCCTCTTCTCAGCTATACTCACAGGCACGTCTTTCTGGCCCTTGGCCTCTGCCCTGCTCGGGCAAGTGTTAAAAAGCTCTTTTAGCTCTGCAGATAAGTGCCCAGAGGCACCCTATTCTGCCAGCAAGCCTCTTGTGCAAAGGCATTCAGCTTTCTTGCTCCATGGACTGGGAAGCCCATCATGCCATCTCCTGATGTCGTTTCTCTGCTACTACTTCTGGATTACTCCCCACCCCCATCTCCTGGTTCCAGGAGCTTCTCAGTGCAGGGATCCCAGGTCCAAAGGATGCGCTCTCCACTCCTGACTGTTCTTCCTTGATGGTGGTGGGATCTTCTCTCTCCCATCTCTGAGGTGGCTCATTTCAAGCCCAGCAGGATGGCAAAACTGACCAATCCTCTTGCACGGTTATTTGCACGGTTCTACCCAAGTGATTGGTGGGACCATGGCGAGAAAGACCACACGAAAGCTATCCATGACACTGCCGTGCCCTTTACTATATTCTGTTTTTTAATTATGGTGGTTGCAGGAATCTACACATCTGATAAAATTGCGTAGAGCTCAATAAACACAAACATACATATGAGTTTATGTAATCTTTAAATAAGGTGGAGTTATTGTGACAATGTCAATTTCCTGGTTATTTTATTTTACTATAGTTATACAAGATGTTACCATTGGAAGAAACTGGGTGAATAGTATATGTGCTCAGTCTTTATTATTTTTTACAACCCAATATGATAACTACAGTTATCTCAAAATAAAAGGTAAAAAAAATTGATATAAAAGATAACAAATATTTTCGATGTAAAACAATCATTGGACTATCTTACAATCTGCCTGCTACAAGTCTCATTCAGTAAAAAATTATTTTTGAGCGTGTAGCTAGAGTTTTAGATATTGCTTATCCCTTTATTTTCACTTTATGGATAGGCATATGTTAGACATTCTCATTCTATCCATGTTTTCTAACCTCTTTTTTACATTCTGTCTCTGTATACTACATTTTGGGTAAATTCATCAGTTACACGTTACATTTTACTAATTATCTGTTTAGTGTATTATGCTGTTAACCTGTTAATATACATACATGTGCATTTATATATGTATGTGTGTGTTTGTGTGTGTGTATTAAATTTATTTTTCCTAAATTGTCTTTGCATCCCTGGTGGCGCAGTGGTTAAGAGCTACAGCTGCTAACCAAAAGGTTGGCAGTACGAATCTATCAGCTGCTCCTTGGAAACCCTATGGGGCAGTTCTACTCTGTCCTATAGGGTCACTATGAGTTGGAATCAACTCAGTGGCAACGGGTTTGGTGTTTTTGGTAAATCGTCCTAATTATCTTTTACATTCTTGATCTTTAAACATTTTTGATAGTTTCTTTTATTCCTTTCAACTTGCGGTACCATAGATCACTTTTGTGTGTCCTTTCTAGCCATGGTCTTGTAATTTCTATCCAAGTGATTGAGCAAGACTGTGCAGACTTGGTAATTGTGGCCTACCAAAGAGATTGGTTGGTTTTGCCATCCCAGTGGACTTGAAATGAACTACCCTAGAGGCGAGAAAGAGAAGATTCCATCACCACCAAGGAAGAACACCCAGGAGCCAGCATATCCTTTGGACTTGGGATCCCTGCACTGAGAAGCTCTTGGAACCAGAAGACAGAGAAAGAAAGAGATGTAACACTGAAGGCAGCAGATACTGGCAGGAGAGACCCACAGGACATAGTGGACTTCCTGGCCCAGAGACTGAGGGCCAGCTAGAGGCATGCCTGTGAGCCCGGCTGGGAAGAGGCTGTCCTGATAGAAGAACTGTATCCTTGAGTGTTCCTGAGCCTCAGTTGTAACATGTTACTTCCCTAATAAACCCCATAATCGTGAGCATTGTCTGAGTTTTGTGTGGCCATTGCAATGGATTATTGAACCCAGCAGAGAAGTAGAAAGTGCTGTGGAAGGGACAGTTAGTGTCAGAATTGGTAAAGATGGCGGAGAAATGAGGCATGTCTGACCCCCGCCTCATAGGAATCAGCCTTGGGCTATTGATCTTGAGTCTCCTTCCCCCTTGTGAGATTAAAGGAGGTCAGACACTGCCCTCATGCCATTTTTACACAACCTAATAAACACATAGTTTCCTAATAATTCTGACATCTGAAGCTCCTCTGTAGTTTCTTATATTGGCTGTGAAGGCTCATGCTGAATGTAGGAACACGTTTTAGTCCCTGAGTGTCACTAACATATTTATCATTTAGCAAATCAGTGGCCAAATACATACACACACACACACATGAATATGAGATATTTCTAGGTTACCAAGAGGACTTAACTGCAACTGCTACACATGACAAAAACTTCTAATTTGATGAGTAGATGGATGATTGAATGCTTAATTACAGAATATATTGTGAGGAGTTTTCTTCTTCTACAAGGTATTTAAAAAACAACATTACATATATAGATACACATATATAGAGCAAGTCAGTAAAACAGTTTTCTTCACATTTCAACCATACCATCGAAAGGAAATCACTTTATTAAATGGGACCCTGTTATTACAGGAATCAGTGACATTCAACGATGTGGCTGTGGAGTTCACCTGGGAGGAATGGCAGCTCCTGCTCCCTGCTCAAAAGGACCTGTACCAGGACGTGATGTTGGAGAACTATAGCAACCTGGTGTCTGTAGGTGAGGACAGCTTTCTGGTGTCACTCAAAGAGCACCCTGTCCATGGCTTTTATTTTCTCAGATGCTTAAAACTGGAGTATTTATGCTGCTTTTAAGTGATGTATTCTCAGTCTACTATCTGACTCTAGAGAAAAATCTTCACTTTTTAAGCATGAAAATTCTTTTATCCCAAATGTAACGTTCTGTGTTCTTTACAAACCCAAGCTCAATTTGTTATGTCTAAGAGTTTTATCATTTTCCATGAACAGGGTATCAAGTTAGTGAACCAAATGCACCATGCAAGTTGAAAAGAGGAGAACAACCATGGCCTATACAAGATGAAATCCATAGTCAAAACTTTTCAGGTGAGCAAGCAAGCACCAGCAAGGGGTGGAAGGCTGTGCAAGTTATATTCTAGCCAAAGAAGGTGTCACAGCTGTGAAGGGTGTCTGAAAATATGTAAGAGAGTGTCTTAGTTGACTAGTGCTGCCATGACAGAAATACCACAAGTGGATGGCTTTAACAAAGAGAAATTTATTCTGTCACAGTTTAGGAGGCTGGAAGTCCAAATTCAGGGTGTCAGCTCCAGGGGAAGGCTTTCTGTCTTTGGCTCTGGGGGAAGGTCCTTGTCACCAATCTTCCCCTGGTCTAGGAGCTTCTTAGTGCAGGGACCTTGGGTCCAAAGGACACTGTCTGCTCCTGGCTCTTCTTGCTTGGTGGTAATGAGGTCCCCCTCCTCTCTGCTTACTTCTCTCTTTTATATCTCAAAAAAATTGATTTAAGATACAACCTAATCCAATAGATTGAGTCCTGCCCCATTAACATAATTGCCTCTCATCCTGCCTTATTAACATCATAGAGGTTAGGATTTACAGCACATAATCACCTCAGATCACAAAATGGTGGACAACCACACAATATCAGGAATCACAGACTAGCCAAGTTGACACACATTTTTGGGGACACAATTCAATCCACAACAGAGGGCTTCTACATATATCTCTCCCTGTGTGAGACCTCTTTTTCTTTATTGCAATTTAGAGAAAAATATACCCCTCTATGTCTGAAGGATTCCTGGAGGCGCAACGGTTAACGGACTCAGCTGCTAATCAAAAGGTTGGCAGTTGGAACCCACCAGTTGCTCCATGGGAAAAAAGATCTTGCAATCTGTTCCCATAAAGATTACAGCCTAAAAAACCCTATGGGGCAGTTCTCCTCTTTCCTATATTGTCACTATGAGCTGGAACATCTCTTCTGAGATTAGATCCATATATTTGCTTTATAGCTTGATGTTTTTCATATGATTACAGTTTTATTATAGCAAAAAGATGCAAATGAGGAGACGCATAGGGCAAGATCTGCTAATGTTCCCAATGTGGAGTTTCCATGTCCCAAAAAGTGTTGTGCTACCCTGACTTACATCGCTATCTTTCACCAATTGGAACCTCATAGGGCTTTTGTGTCCAGAACATTTATTGTGGACGCATTGTCTAGGCATGATCGATTGAATCAGTCTACTTCCCCTGAGATCAGCTGATATCACAGGGTGATCTTTCTGGCCTGACCGGCTCTTACCTTCATCACTTCATTAGCTGTCAGGTCTTGTCTGGAAACCTACAGATAACAAAGGTGCCTCAATTACTCAACACATTAACACATTCAATGGGTTTAGAGTTATGTCCCAGGAACTGACGGTAAAGACCCAATTTGTTTGGTTCACCTTAATTGTAAACTCTGCTTCCTTGTTTTTTTTTTTTTAAGGTGGTTTTACCAAACTAGAATATAGTCTCCACAAACATAAGGAATATGTTTATGTAGCCCCAACAGTAGCACCATGCCTGGTACATAGTAGTCATTCAATAAGGATTTATAGAATGAATCTGTGTTTCAGCAGTTTGGATAAGGTGGCTCTCCTACCTCTCTGGTCTGCTGTTCACAGTGTCTTGCTTGTGTTTTACACTCTCTGCATGTTTTGCAAAGCCTTATTTAGGAAACAGTCAAATCTTTATTCATTTGTTATGTATTATCTAACCTTGTTTCTACACTAACTGCTTTTACCATTTGCTTCGTTTATATTATTGTGTTTTTACCAGTGTGCAAGGAACATTGCATGTGGAGTTTATATACACTCACAGCATGTGATTTTCAATAAAGAGCCACCTCACATCCAAACATTTTTTAAATAGTTTTATTACAAATCAAGATGATGCAAGAGTTCATTGTTTTTTTCTTTCCTAGAAATTTGGAAAGCTGATGATCATCTGCCTGGGCACTCACAAAATGAATGGGTGAATAGAATGGAAAAGTGCCATGAACATAATGCATATGAATATATTTTTAATCAGCACAAAAGTCATTTTACTTTACATCAAAATGATGGTATGTTTGACTTACTTGGAAAAACTATAAAATCAAATTTATCTTTAATCAGCCACAGCAGAAGCTATGGAGTAAAGAACTCTGCTGAGCTTAATGGAGATGAAAAAACCTTTCCCCATGCTAACCATGAACAATTTCATATGGAAATTAAATTCTCTGAGAGTCAAAAATCCAACAGCATGAAGTCGCAACTCATTAAGCATAAGAGAACTCACAAGATAGAAAAATCACATGTATGCAGTGAATGTGGAAAAGCCTTCATCAAGAAGTCTTGGCTCACTGATCATCAGATTATTCACACAGGAGAGAAACCCCATAGATGCAATCTATGTGGGAAAGCCTTCTCCAGAAAGTTTATGCTAACTGAACATCAGAGAACTCATACAGGAGAAAAACCTTATGAATGCACAGAATGTGGGAAAGCCTTTCTTAAGAAATCACGGCTCAATATACATCAGAAAACTCATACAGGAGAGAAACCCTATACATGCAGTGAATGTGGAAAAGGCTTCATCCAGAAGGGAAATCTCATTGTTCATCAACGAATTCACACAGGTGAGAAACCATATATATGCAGTGATTGTGGAAAAGGCTTCATCCAGAAGACATGTCTCATAGCACATCAGAGATTTCACACAGGAAAGACACCCTTTGTTTGCAGTGAATGTGGAAAATCTTGTTCTCAGAAGTCAGGTCTCATTAAACATCAAAGAATTCACACAGGAGAGAAACCTTTTCAATGCAGTGATTGTGGGAAGGCCTTCGCCACAAAGCAAAAGCTAATTGTACATCAAAGAACTCATACAGGAGAGAGACCGTATGGTTGCACAGAGTGTGGAAAAACTTTTGCTTACATGTCCTGCCTTGTTAAACATAAAAGAATACACACAAGGGAGAAACATGTAGATTCAGTCAAGGTTGAAGCCCCTTCTGCAGTGCGTCACAGCTCATCACATACCAGTGATCTCATGCAGGACGAAAACCCTGTTAATAAAGCGACTATACAAATGCCTTCTGTGGCAGCTCAGACATCAGTAGACATCAGTGGGATCCTACCAAATAGAAACATAGTCATTGTGAGACAGCCTGTTGCCAGATGTGAACCCTCAGGAGATAACAGAGAATTTGTACAGGAAAGAAACATTATGAATGCCGTGAATGTGGTAGTGCCTTCAGTGATCAATTACATCCTTTATTATGTCACAGAAAACCCATAGGATAAGCTCAAATACATTTAGTGTGGAAAGGGTTGAGCAAAAATTTCTAGCTCATTGGATATCTCATTGTATGATTTCCAGATGGGAATCATATGAATGTAGAGGCTGGCAAAGCCTGATATGCTCATCCTACGTAAATATCACATTGATATCTGTGGTGCAATGAATTCCTTTATGTGGCCTTTTGCCCTTGATTCTTGGATAAATAACTTAGGAGATACCCAGAGTTGTTTTCTACCCTTTATGGTTTGTTATTTTGTCTGGTCTGTCTAGGCGGCCCCATCTCGCCTAGTAATTGACAATGTAATGACAGGAAAGCTAAAGCAAGAAACTTTTGCCTAGTAATTCACAGGGCCTGGGTTTATTGACATTTCCTGGGTAGTTGAAGTTTGCTTGGGCTCTGGTATGGCTAGGAGAGAACCCCAACTTTTAACTGAGAAGCAGCATGAGTAATGACTTATATAATGGCCCGAAACACAGAGGTTTTTTGGGACTTCTTGCTGAGAGCTGGGAGGGTTGATGTGTCCATTAGAACACAGAAGCACTGTGCCAGAAACCCTCCCAGACTCGGGTGAAAGAGTTGTAACATCCTTAGAGCTGTGAACAGTGGAGTGGCTGTGACTGCCAGAAATGGCAGAGACAAGTGGAAGCGGGTGCCCAGCAGCATAGAGCAAAGAGCAGTGTTGATGAAAACTAAGCTCGGAGAAAAGTGACAGTGGCATGAGTGGTGCTATCTTGAAGCTGCTGGTTGAGAGCTGGAGCCAGTCAGCTACAAGAGCAGAGCTGGCCAAGAGGAGCCATGGAGAGAGAGACAAAGCATGAGTGACAGTAGCTGCCACTGTGTGGGACTAGAATGATGGCACAGAGCCTGACACCTCAAGCCAAGCACACATGCTAGCACGCAAATGGCAGCATGGGCCTAGCCCAGAGAGAGGGAGCAGTGCACAGGGCCTGAAGTGCAAGTAGTGTGTCGAGCTGAACTGGCCTGCCACAGAAAGGGACTAACCCAAGCTGGAGCCCCAAGCAAGGGAGCCAGAGCACTGCCTGACAATGGAGCCCTGCAGGAAGGAGTGCTTGAAAGACAGCTCACCAGGAAAACAGCTATCCAGGTCCTCACTGACAGCCAGCAGAGAGCTGTCCAGGTCCTGACTAGAGTTTCCTGGTTGAAAGCTTCCTGATTAGTGTGAGTGAATATCTGTTCTTGGGAGGGTAAGCAGGTCCCCTTTGAGATGTTATGGCTCCATGCTGTATGCTTCCCACACCTCGCACTATGCTTTTCTCTGTTCACATCCTTTGTTTGTACCTTTCTCTGTTTATATCCTTCTCTGTTATATTAAAGTTGTTATCACAGGTGTGGTGTTTCTGTGAGCTCTGTTAGAATTTCAATGAATTATTGAACTCAGTATATATAGAGTTATTGGATGGCTAGTGTCAGATGTAATGGAGAAGTTGGAAAGTGGGAATATATTTAACCTCTGCCTCTTTGGAACCAATCTGATGCTTTTTGCTGATTCTCATAGTTAAAATTATCCATGAAGTTATCCTAATTTAATATAGGTTTAATCTGATGTTAATCTGAACACATACACTTCAATTGGTCTATTGTGTCAATTAGAAAAATAGAAGTCTGAGTTAATCACAGTGGAGCAAATAAGTAATGTGAATTTTTAAACAGAAAAGATAATCAGTATCTGGAATGTTGCTGTAAATAACCACTTAGGAGGTCCTTGGTTGGTTGGTAAGGGGCAATATTTGATTGGTGGTATTTGGAGCACACATATATTAGTTCACTTTCCCCAGATTAGTGTGAAGGATTACCTGAAAACCAGAATATTTACCATAAAGTTTTAGAACTTCATATTATGCAGAGGGACCTATGAAACAATAGTCTTACACTGAGTCTATTCATTAATGTAATGAATATTTGTAACATGCTTCTTTGGTCACATGGTCCTATTTCAGTAGGTGAGGATGAAGTGGTTAATAAAGGAAAAATTTCATGCCCTCTTGGAGAGAGCACTGAGTTAATTGGATTATATTTAAGTGGAGTTTTGACACTCCAGCTGATCTAGTCAGAGGATGCAATATCTACATTAGGTGAAATAGACATAAAATAATTGGTACAAGGGGTTTAGTTAGCATTTTTAGGAATGAGAAAAATCCTAAAAAGTTCTTATGATAATATGTTGTTAAAAAATCAGTTGCCATCGAGTTGATTCCAATTCATGGTGACCTCATGTATGAGAGTCGAACTGTGCGTGATAGGGTTTTCCATGGCTGATTTTACAAAGTAGATCACCAGGCCATTCTACCAAGATGCTTCTTGTTGAGCTCGAACCTCCAACATTTTAGTTATCAGTTGAGTGCATTAACAGTTTGTACCACCCATGGATTCTTGTGATAGAGACTCCTTTATTTGGTATTTAAGCATTCTAGGAAATAAGTTATATTTTTTTAATGCCCATGTCTAATTTGTTTAAGTAGTTTATAAATTCCTGGGTAGTTTTAATGAATATTTTAATTTGAAAGTTAAAAGACATTTTTAAAGAAATTTAAAATTCATTCCGTTAGTTGCAGTAGCCACATTTCATGGTTCAATAGCCATGTGCGCAGTGAATTGTATACCTACGACACATTGAAACAGCAAACTTTTGGTGATATATATTTTATCATTAAAAAAAGGATACATAACAGTTCCATCACAAGAATTCCTCATTGTACCCTTTTATAACCTCACCTACTTCTCACTCTCTCCACCTCCCTAACCCCTGGCAATCACTAATCTGCCTATCTCAAAATGTTACACACTGATGATCACATTTATACAACATTCTTATAGTGACAAAATTAGAGAATATATTTTAAAGTCAGAGTGAACACCCCGTGTTGCAGTGAGTTCCTTTATGTGGCCTTTTGTTTTCGTTCTTTGGAAAAACAGCTTGAGTTTTTTCCCCTGCTGTCATGGATTGAATTATGTCCCCCCAAAAATGTGTGTATCAATTTGGCTGGGCCATTATTCCTGGTATTGTGTGGTTTTCCTATATGTTGTAAATCCTGCCTGTATGATGTTAATGAGGGAGGATGGGTGGCAGTTGTGTTGGTGAGGCAGGACTCAATCTACAAGATTGGATGGTGTCTTGAGGCAAACTCTTGAGATATATAAAAGAGAGAAGCAAGCAGAGAGACAGGGGGACCTCATACCACCAAGAGAGCAGTGCTGGGAGCAGAGCGCATCCTTTGGACCCGGGGTCACTGCGTAGAGATGCTCCTAGTCTGGGGGAAGATTGATGAGAAGGCCAATAGAGAGAGAAAGCCTTCCCCTGGAGCTGATGCCTTGAATTTGGACTTTTAGCCTAGTTTACTGTGAGGAAATAAGTGTCTCTTTGTTAAAGCCACCCACTTGTGGTATTTCTGTTATAGCAGCACTAGATGACTAAGACACCTGCGGTGCAGTGAATTACTTAATATGGCCCTTCTAGCCATAGTCTCTGTAACTCCCACCAAGTGACTGGGTGAAACTATGCAAATGAGGTGCTTGTGGCCCACCAAGGGGATTGGATAGTTTGCTAATAATGTAAATAAGGTGCAAGGCACTCTTGTGGGGGGTGCGACCATACAAATAAGGTGTATGGAACCCTAACGAGGGGATTAGTTCCGCCATCCCACTAGGCTTAAAATGAGCCATCCCAGAGGCGGGAACAGACGATCTCACCACCAACAAGAAAGAAGAGCCAGGAGTGGAGTGTGTCCTTTGGACCCAGGATCCCTGTGCAGAGAAGCTCCTGGAACCAGGAGATTGAGAGAGAGAGCTTTAACATCAAAGACAGTGAGAAACTGTGGCAGAGAAATGGCAGCAGCAGAGGCAGGAGACTGGCAGAAGACGGCGCAGTGGGCTTCCTGGCCCACAGAGTGAAAAAGCTGAGTGCCTTCAGTTAGGAGGCCTGCTGGTGGAGTAGGGTGCTCCGGGCACTTTGTTGAGCTAGGTTTGCTGACATATGGGGCTAGAGATGAATGCCTTCGGGCCTTGGCTTACTGGTAGAATAAGGTGCCTCGGGGCACTTATTGGCAGAGCTAAAAGAGCTTTGTAACACTTGCTCAAGCAGGGCGGAGGCCAAGGTGCCAGAGAGAGGTATGCCCGCTGTTATGGCTGAGAAGAGGCTGTCCTGATCAAAGAACTATATCCTGAGCGTTCCTGAACCTGAATTGTAACCTGTTACTTCCCTAATAAACCCCATAATCATGAGTGTGGTCTGTGAGTTCTGTGTGGCCATTGCAATGAGTTATTGAATTCAGCAGAGAATAGAAAGTGCTGTGAGACGTATGGTCGGTGTCAGAATTGGTAAAAAGGTTGGATGGTGAAAGTATGTTTTTCCTCCGCCTCACAGGAATCAGCCTTGGGCTGTTGATCTTGATTCTCCTTCCCCCTTGTGAAGTTACAGGAGGTCAGATGGCAGTCGGCCACACCATTTTTTACAATGTGTGACTACTGCCTACCAAATTGGACAACAGAGACATGCAAAACTTTGTAGCACTTTGCATCGCTGTAAACTGTATAGTGAGAGAAATCACTATCATTTTCAGGATCCCAGAAAGTTAAATTGGAGAGCACAAGTTTACATTATTTTGTTATTTCTCAGCACAAAGATACTCAACTATTGATTTTTTGAAAGAATGAATGAGCCAATGAACTAATCAAAGAGTATTTTGTCATTGAAGTGAATGATCAATTAGAAGGCAGTTTAAGGAATGGAATTGTCTCCGAGAAACATTTCCTTTGTGATTAGAGACTCAGTCGCTGAGTATTTTAGGGGCAGGGCATAAAAGGAAAAAGATCCCCAGAATAAGTCCAACAAAAAGAGAAGCTTAGTCTTCTAAGAATGGAGGACAGTATATGAGATGGAAGAGGATGAAATCCTTTTGGGTTATCTTAGAGTTAAACCTTCATATCACCTGTGATAGTTAAGGTTATGTGTCAACTTGGCTAGGCCATGATTCTCAGTTTGGCAGACATTATGTAATTATCCATTTCATGATCTGATGTGAGCTGTCAATCAGTTGAAAGGGGAGTTTCCTTGGGGGTGTAGCCTGCATCCAATATATATGGATGTTCTGGCAAAGCTCGCTCTCTTGATCCTGCGTTCACCTCATCATCCTCTGATCTCTGGTTCTTGGATGTGAGCCAGCAGCCTGCCTCCTGACCTGCAGATTATGGGTTCGTCAGCTCCTGCTATCACGTGAAGCCTACAGCCTGCTGCCTTAACTATGGATTTGGGACTTGCCAATGTCTACAATTGTGTGAGCCATTTCCTTGAAATAAATAAATAAATATTTATATATACGCTTCTCTGGTTTTGCTCCTCTAGAGAACCCAGCCTAAGACATTACCATTGAGAGATGCCACCATTTCAAAGACTACAGGTTCTCTGTAGCCTGCTGAACTGCGATATGATTTCTTTTTACACTGCGAGTGGGACTCATGAACTCTGTTTCTCTTCTCTGAGTTTTTCTCTTAATCCCATAATAATATTGCATAGATGGCAAAAACCAGCATAAATGAAATCCCACTATGAGGGTCATTTGCTAATCCTGAATCTTCCCTATCCTGTTCAGCTCTGACACCAGCTGCCCATGCAGCATTTTTTCTCTGACCCTATCCATCCAGAGCCAGATCAGATCTCACAAGTTAAAAGGACATGGTTCATCAGCCCAAGGCTTTAGATGCTGGCTGCCCATCCAGCCCTTCTTTCTCTGACCTGGAGCTAGGTCAGATCTCACAAGTTAAAAAGACACTGTCCTTCAGACTGCCAAATAGGCTGATGCCAGCCTCACGTTTGGGAATCCACATAACACCCTAACTTCTGACCTGCTGACCACAAATTTGGGGGTTTCCTCTATCCTTTCAGGATACCAACCACAAACTCAGGAGTCCCCCAGGGATCCCTAGGTTCTGACACCCACAATTCCTTTTGAGGGTGATAATTCCCTGGAATGACTCATAAAACACAGAAAATGCTATACTTAAACGATTACCCCTTTATTATAGCAAAAAGGATACAAATGAAGAGGACAATGTCTGGGCACGTACCCAACGCAGCTTTCATGTCCCTAAAAGGGATGTGCATCCATCTCACATGCATGGATATCTTTCACCAACCAGGAAACCCATACAGATTCCATGACCTGAGCCTTTATTGGCTCTTTATGTAGTCATGATTGAGGCCTCATTGCATAGGTATGATTGATTGAATCATGCCACCCTCTCTCCCTGAGGTCAGCTACATGATGCTCTTTCTGGCTTGGCAAACCACCATTCATTAGCACAAATCCTCAGGTATCATCTCTAATGCTACATAATTACTTAATTACTGTAACAATGGCATGGTGGGGGCATCTGACCTCCTCTAACTTCAGGAGAGGGAGAGAGAATCATCATTAGCATCAGTCCAAAGCTGATTCTTATGAGGTAGAGGTCAGATATACCTCCTCCCCAAACTTTTTACCAATTCTGACACCAGCTGTCCTTCCCACGGCACTCTTTACTTCTCTGCTGGGTTTGATAATTCATTGCAATGTCCACACAGAACTCACAGACCATACAGTTTTAAGGTTTATTAGGGAAGTAACAAGTTACAATTCAGGATCAGGAATGACTCAGGATACAGTTCTTTGTTCAGGACAGTTCCTTGGCCATGCCCTCCGGCAGGCCTCTCTCTGGATCTCAGCCTCTTGACCCGGCGGCCAGGCCTCTGCCCTGTTTGGGCAAGTGTTACAAAGCTCTTTAGCTCCGCCAGTAAGGGCCCAGGGCCACCTCACTCCGCCAGCAAGCCTTGGCGGTCAGTAAGCCTAGCTCTGCTGACAAGTGCCCAGACTCACTCTACTCCGCTAGGAAACCTCCTGCCCAAAGGTGCTCAGATCTTTCACCCCATGGGTCGGCATACCCATGTAACTGCCTTACTCTGTGGGCCGGGAAGCCCACTGCACCATTTTGCACCAGTATCCTGGTACTGCTGGTGCTGCTTCTCACCGTTTTTCACCATCTCCGATGTTACAACTCTCTCTCATCTCCTGGATCTAGGAAGTTCTCAGTGCAGGGACCCTGGATCCAAAGAACGCATTCCACTCCCGTCTCTTCTTGGTGGTAGTGAGGTTCTCCGTCTGCCTCTGGGATGGCTCATTTTTAGCCTAACAAAACGTCAAAACTGACCAATCCCATTGTGTAAAACTTGTGTGATGGAGGCGTCTGATTTCCTCTAACTTCACAAGGGGGAAGAGAATCAAGAGCAACAGCCCAAGGCTGATTCCTGAGGCAGAGGTCAGACATGACTCCTCTCTCCACCGTCTTTACCAATTCTGACACCAACCGTCCCTCCCATGGCACTCTCTACTTCTCTGCTGGATTTGATAATTCGTTGCAATGGCCACACAGAACTCACAGGCCATACTCACAGTTATGGGGTGTGATCATGAAGGTTGTGTGTCAGCTAGGCTGGGCCATGATTCTCAGTGGTTTGGCAGTTTTATGATGATGTGATCACTTCCATGATGAGATTGGCTATAATGTGATCACCTCCATGATGGGATCTGCTGTGAGTAGCTGATCAGTTGAAAGGGAGTTCCATTGGAGGTGTGGCCTGTGTCAAATATAAGTGGACTTTCTGGCAAGGCTTGAGGTCTTTTGCTCCTACTGGATCCTGCAGCTGGCTCCTGTTCGTCTGACCTTCGGTTCTTGGGACCTGAGCTAGCAGCTTACCTGCTGTCTTGCCTGGCAATCTTCGGATTTGTCTGTCTTCACAGCCTGTGAGCCAGAACCCTGCTGTCTGACTTGCCCATCTTGGGTCTGCCAGCCCCTGCGGCTATGTGAATCAGGAGAAGCCTCCAGCCTGATACACGTTCCAGCCTCTACAACCGTGTGAGCCATTTCCTTAATGTAAATCTCTCTCAGTGGTTAAGAGATCAGCTGCTAACAAAAAGGTCGGTAGTTTGAATCCACCAGCTGCCCCTGGCAAACCCTAGGGGCAGTTCTACTCTGTCCTATAGGGTCACTATGAGTCAGAACTGACTTGACGGCAATGGGTTTGTTTGTTA